GCTTATGTAATCCCTTGGCCGCATTTATTGGTGAATATTATAACGGAGTCATTTTATAACTTATGTTGACCCTTTAATTGTCACCATCTTAAAAGTGGGACAACTTTCGATTCATATAATTATCAAGAATTCAAAAATGGGGTCACAATTAAGGGGTTACAACTTAAATTATATAGTGCTTTTTATTCATTTTGATTTAAATTGAAATGAACTCAAAGCTTACCTTCTAAAATTACTGCTAAAGGGTGTGCAGAGAAATACAATTTCCACTAAATTAACTTCATTAGATTGAAGAAAAACTGAACTCTTGAATATATAGGAGCCTAGTCATAAAAGAAGATTTAGCTGGTGTCATTTTATTGAACCAAATTGATATTTTTATATTTAAATTTATTATCCAATAAGTTCATTTTAAGGATTTGATGTTAAAATTAAACTGGTTTAATTTCAATTGAGGCACAGTGGTTAGCACTGCCGCCTCACAGCAAGAAGGTCGCTGGTTCAAGTCCCGGCTGGGTCAGTTGGCATTTCTGTGTTGAGTTTGCATGTTCTTCCCATGTTTGTGTGGGTTTCCTTTTTGTGCTCCAGTTTCCCCCACAGTCCAAGTCCATGCGATATAGGTGAATTGGCCGTAGTGTAAGTGTGTGAATGAGTGTGTATGGATGTTTCCCAATACTGGGTTGCAGCTGGAAGAGCATACGCTGCGTAAAACATATCCTGGAATAAATGGTGGTTCATTCCGCTGTGGCGACTCCTAATAAATAAAGGGACTAAGCTGAAGGAAAATAAATTAATTAATTTCAACTGACTTGACAGGTTTTTTTTTATTTAATAAATGTATTTTTACTATTAAACATTCAGTCTGGAGCAAAAACATGGAAAAAAAATCAAATAAAGAGAATCCATGCAAATAAAAACAAAACAGAATCTATCAAACTTGACAGGCCCCTATTCTGTCGTATTACAACAACACTAAATTGACATTAAAACATGTAAATGATTCCAGAATGTCCTATTCTACATGATGTAAATTGATGCTATTCATAAACTGATAACATTCATTTTGACAATTGATAATTTAAATACTACAAAAGTTTTACAAGCTGAAGATAAAAGCTACATCGAAGACTGGACTCTTGCATATATAGGGCCCTAGTCAAAAGAAGATTTAAAAGGTGTGAGTTTATTGAACTAAATTAAGACACAGATATTACTTTACACATTTACATAACTGATATGTCATGTTTCTTTTTAATAAATTAACGTTTGAATTAAACTGGTTTATTTTTAGGCTTTTATTTCAATTAACTTGACATGTTTTTGATTTACTAAATAGATTTGTATCATTAAATTTTAGTTAAAAAAATAGAAAACAAAAAAAAATGTATATAAAAAAAAAAAGGAATCCATTTGAATAAAAATAAAACAGAAATTTCACAGGTCGCTATACTGATGTGTACAATGAGCAGTGGTGTAAAGTAGCAAATTACAAACACTCCAGTTACTGTAATGGAGTAGTTTTTCTCAGGAATTGTAATTTGCCAAGTAGTTTAAAAATGGGTTTTTACTTTCCTTTGATTACATTTTTAGTGCTGTATCAGTACTTTTAGTGAATTATTTTCCCTCACTATCTTCCTACTGAAAGAAGAAAGGACTTGAGCTGCACGATTAATCGGAAAAATATCATGATCTTGATTCGACCCCCTAGACGATCTTTATCCAGCATTTATACAATTCAGGAGAGAAGCAAAAGCATACATTCACATAAATTGTGAAGCAACATGTATACGTCCAAATGGTGTTGAAAGAGTCACAAACTGTATTTATAAGGTATAATTCACCCAAAAATATCATTTCTGTCTTCATGTAATGATGTATTCGCTGCCGCGAAATCACAAGTGACGTGAGCTGAGCTGACTGTGATTGGTTACCACAGAGAGAGCTGGCACGTGCCTGTGAATGAAGTCTACTTTAGTGAACCTAACTTCTAGAGGCCATGAATAACAGGTAATAAAGCTGTAAATAGCTCTCAGTTTGTGGCACAGAGCGATCGTTTGGGAGCCACGCGGGAAGTATAAAACCGCACTTAGCAATGAAAATTAAACCGAAAGTGCGCACATCATTTGAATAATCATATCACATTTTGGAGTTATGATTACGACAAGCATTTGTTTTGTTTTTCTTTCATCGTGGACACAGTGTTATGCATGAGAATAAATGATTAACAGTGTCAGTATAACAACTCTAGCCTATATAACATTGAATATAATGCAAGAGAAAATCTGAAAATGACAAATATCTGATTTTAAGCTGAAAAAATGGTCTAATAATGCTGTTAATGACAAATGACAAGCATATGTCTCAAATATAATAATTCAACTTTAGAATTATGACTAGTATGTCATCAATTTACCGTGCAATAGTGACCAGGACCAAAAAAAAGTCTGTTCAAGTCCACCATTTAAAGTCTATTTAAAATTAAGCATTTTTACCAACAGTGGAGCTACATATAATATTATCATTATTATTACTATTATTATTATTGTTGTTGTACCATATTTTTGAAAAATAACAATAATAGCACCCTACTTATAGTAACCTTTATTTTATATCTACAGAATCGGGAGAAAATCCTGATCTTTATTTTAAGCAAAAAAAAAAAAAAAATGTAGTAAAAGAAAAAAAAACTAAAAGAAAAATCGCGATTCTCATTTTAGCCAGAATCGTGCAGCTCTAGGAAGGACCGAACTAATAAGGGAAATTTTCAGGGAAGGACTAAACAAACTAAGGCCGTACTCACACTAGGTACAGTTGCCTCGAACCGGGCCAAAGCACGCTTGTCCCCCCTCCAGTCTCCCCCGACGGCCCGCGTTCACACCACAAACGGGCTTCGGCACGCTTGCGTCATCGCTGCTGGGCTGTTCAGTGAGAAGCGCTCTCTCACTCAGCAGCACAGTGGAGATTTCTCTAGTTATATCGTTTCAGTCGTTTAATATGCCGTCAAATATTTCGCCAAACAGTCCTTAGGGATTGATACACGCAGTCAGATATTTCACCGAACAGATCCGCCACTTTTGGCGCTCATAAACAATCATAAAGCTCTCGTGCTGCAGGAATGAGGAGGTCTGCAGAAGCCGCGCAGCTGTCGTGCTGTGAGGGGTTTGCATCTTTAATAAACGATGGCAGTTTGAGTTTACTGAACAGTAAGAATGATTAATAAATCCATATGAAACAGTCCCTTAAAAGTCACGTCTCGCTTTCAGTTTCGGGCTTTGGTGCGTTTTGCACTCACACACAAGCGTACCGCGCCAAAGCCCAAGTGAACCGCGCTCAGGCACACCTCTTCCAACCGGGCCAGGGCCGGCCAAGTGAACCGTGGTTGAGCCCGATTCAGCGCACTCACACTTCTCAAACGATCCGGGAAACGGGCCTGAGCACAGTACGGATGGCATAGTGTGAGTAGGCCCTAAGGAAGGAAGGAAGGAAGGGAGGAAGGAAAGAGGGGAGGAACGAATGAACAAAGCACTTAATGAAAAAAAAATACAAACAAACGAGAGAGTGAGCCAACGAACAAGCCAGCGAACGAACGAACGAGCAAACACACAAGCAAACGAGAGTGAGGGGAGGAAGAAATTAATAAAGGAAGGAAAGAACAAACGAATGAAGAAAGGAAGAACATAACTAACAAAGATTGGAAGGAACGAACACACGAATATAGGAATATCACTAAATGCACAACAGAATCGTACGTTTACACATCCCTGCACAGACTGCATGTTTGACAACTGACAATGACACTCCATTTGATTTTTGAAATGTGATGTCCTGTAATGTCCTATTCCAATTGATGTATACCATTCATAATCTGTTTAGATTCATCTGACATCTGTTGATGATCTAAAACACAGTTGAAGTTGTAAAAACGAAGGATAAAAGCTGATGTGGCAAACAACTAACAACCGGTTCAGTTAAGTCAACACTGGTTTAACCAAACATAGGTGTATGTGTTGAATACTTCATTTACCACTGTTCCAACTGTACTCATCTACTTTATGAACTCATATTAAGTTCAGGCACATTTTAAACTAAAAATGGATGCATGTGTAGGAGTGAAACACAAATATCCAAGCAAGCAAACATCCTGTAATTACCAGGTATGTCATGAGGCTGCTTCTGAAATGTTTGGAAGTCAGAAGTCGCAGATTAAGGACATTATCACTTCTTTTTTTAAGTGTGGCTATGTGTCAGAGGTCACAGGACTCACTGAAAGGATTTGTCACTGGAAATTACAGAAGTCGCGAGCAGAGGGAGTAAAGCACGTGACCAGCAGCAGGAGCGCGCATGGCTCATGTTACCTCAGCAACACTCGCTCAGTTCAGAGAAGAAGAAAAAAACACTAGCTCAGTTTAAGGTACGTCGTGGCAGGAAGCGCCACAAAACTCACCCGACAAGTTTATCCAATATCATTTTTGTGATTATCATCAACTTAAATACATTTTTTATTTCACACTGACGGCTGCAGCATGTGTGGTTATGTCACACACAATACAAACACATTTAAGCTCGAACATCATTCAAGGTTATTCCCAGCACTGCTCCCACACTACAGTACGCACTCGTCACTCAACATTGTTAAAACAAGCGGAAACTTGCGATTTTACGGATGACGCACGAAACATGTGCTAATGATAACATACGCGATGTTATGGATTAATAACAGAAACTGAATATTACATAATATTTATCTAATAGTAGACTGCAAAGTCTTATCTGAAGAATACTAGTGTAGTATCATCTTGAGTCAAGTGATGAAACGCCGACCTCGCTGTCACACACACGTGTTAGTTGTTAAAAGATGAAAATGTTTCGCAATTAAAACTAACAAACACATGTAACTTCCTGATAAAGATCTCCACTCATCCGCCAGCTTAATTAAGTCAATAAACCAAGAGATATATCGAAAAGCCGGCTTTTTAGCGACAGCCGGCTACATTACTTACTTTCTGGACGTGGTCATGGTGAAGCTCAGTGAAGTAGTACGCTAGTAATTGAGTGGCGATCATCTTTCTTCTGTAAACTTTGGGTCTGTTTAAGTTCTTAAGCGGGTTGAATGGGATCTGAAGTGCTTGGAAGTCACTTAGGGCGCGTGCTCATGTTCTTCAAGTTTCTGAAACTCTTTCTTATCCGGGTTTTACGATGGTGATGCGAAGTGATGTCACTATTAATTCCACCCACTTCACTTTTGTAATTTGAGCAGCCTACGTCACTGAGATGCTTGCCGCTGATTGGCCTTGAAAAAGGTGTGCCGAACTTCAGCGACCCCATCCCAGAAGGTGCGTTCGACATGAAGCTCAGCTGCAGCCGGTGATCAACGAGATTAGCCGAGCGCAGGCGGGGCGGAGTTGAAAACGGAGCCGTCAAGACGGACAGCTGGACACTTCGGGACTCAAAGTTGCTGCAGTCGTGATGACCGATCACAAGGCGTCATCATATTTTTTTGTTATTTTTATTTATAACAACAAAACATTTACAAATAAAACAGAATACAGGCTCTTCAAACTGTAGTTCCTAAACAATAAGAGAGAATTATGAATAAAATATATAACAAATGCATGAGAGAAATAAGAGGAAATGAGAGGTTAATATAAACATAAAAACGAACAGGTCTATTAAATACAAAGCAATAAGCATAAATTCTAGGAGTTAAACATCAACCTTTAGGCTAATACTTCTTGTTTGAATCTGCTAAAAAAGGGTTTACATATATGTACATTTATAGATATAAAAATTTCCCATGTAAAAAGCAAAACAAGGTGTTTTGATTAGGTCTTAATAAATGACATTATTTTGGATGATGAATGAATTTTCAAAAAAGCATTTTAATCCAAAAAGATTGTGTTGAAAAGAACAAAAGGTAAAATAAGTGAGCTATGTAGAAGTTTCCCAGAAAGAGCAGGTAGCCTTTAAACTGCTAGACAGAAAATAAAATATATATTTATATTATAATAATAAAGCCATTTTATAATTATTTAATAAAATAGTTCTTTACTTTAATTTGTTAAGAGAGCTTTAGGGGGGCAGGATCAATGATGATGATTTTCTTATTTCAAGTCTGTAAGACTTATTTGAGTTCATATTTAGGTTATTCACTAAAATATACACTAAAATATATCATTTAAATCGTTCATGGAGATGAATGCAGTAAATTCTGTATAAAAAAGTAAAAAATAAACCTGTGCAAACAAGCTAACCTTTATAACCAGATCATTTAACAAAAGATGATACTGCAGTAAAATATTTGTAGTCTTTTAATAAGCAAGATGTGTACAGGATAGAGGGTGTGAAAAGTGAATTGTTTGTTTTGAAACTTTTGAATCGGAATTTGTCCAATTATAAACCCGAAATACACGTGTTTGTTGTCATGTGGTGAACTCGGCCAATCGTGTAATATCGGTGTCGTTATCAAAGCTCCTGCAGTCGCTCTTCAGAAGCTGCATGGTCTGAGTTTGCCGTCTGATCTCGGAGCGCTGTCGCGGTACTTTGATGCCACATGTGACAGTCACGTGGCGTCGGCGCAGCATCAATCCGGACAAGATTTCTAACCAGAATGCACCGCTTTAAGACAGATTTCGATCGATCTGCGCAGCGCTGCATGAAGTCGAACGCACCTAGAGTCTCCACCAAACCAAGACACTGAGGTTATATTAGCCTATTCCACTTTGTCAGGAAAGGGGTGGTTTTTCTCAAGAAATTGAAATGTCTAATTTTCTATTTAATTATGAGATTTAAATACTGCATTTTAGTGACATTTTTTGTCTGGGTTAGCTTGTTGCTTGGTCATCATAACCACACTTTGTGATGTACCAAAAACTGTTCCTAAAGATTTAGAATTAAAAAAAAGAAAATTTGTTTATAAAATCCAATTTCCTGAGGAAACTTGAATGCTGGCCAGTTTGTGTTTGCCTAATAAATAACAATAGGCTAGATTTTAATTTAAAACTTGAACAGCATCTTTTTTATGATAAACATGTAATAAATCAATTTGAAAAATAAGTATTATTTTCATATATTTTTTTTTCTTCTAACTCTTTTGGAAATGTTTTTGGTACACCAAGAAATTGTGATGACATCTGATAAGCTAATCCAGCACAAAAGTGTGCTTAAAAAGTATTTAAACTTCATAATCAAATAGAAAATGAGGCTAATAACTGCAGAAAGGACCATAGTTTATAGCCCTGTTGTCGGTGACTTGAGTTGGTTCTTTTTATATTTCCTATTATATTGGTGTGTGTGTGTGTGTGTGTGTGTGTGTGTGTGTGTGTGTGTGTGTGTGTGTGTGTGTGTGTGTGTGTGTGTGTGTGTGATTGTGTGTGTACATATAATTTGATTATATTATTATTATATATTGTTTTTATATTTATTTATCTCTCAATAGTTACATATTTCATTAGTATTTTTATTCACAATATTTTACATAAAACTCATACATCAATTACTTGAATAATAATAATAAATAATTATGGAAAGATTAAATAATATTCACATACACTTTTATCTATGAAAGTTTGAGCAGTCATCAAGTCATTGTATCAAAAGTGAAACATGATTTCAATATCCAGTTTTTGGGTTTAATATTTATGCCTTGATTAAGATCAGCTGAATCACAAAACATATTAAGAAAAAATATGAAAATGGGCTATGTTAGTTTTCTCTGAGGTTAAAAAAAATAATTGAATAAAATGTACATTTGGGCAAGGATACCTGTTTCAAAATTAAAGAATCAAATGGGCTAAGTGCACAGCTAGTGTTTTTCAGCCATTGATAAACTTCTGGTGAAAGGTTTATGTGACTATTATAAACTTTATTAGGTTCCTTTTACATCATCGACATCGTAATGTTATTAAAATACATCCAGTTAAATAAACTTAAGCATTCAAAATCTAACAAAAAGCGCTCAGGTGTAGCTTAAATAATGCGTTGGTGCTCTTTGGGTAAGGGATTCATCAGAATAAACAGCAAAAATCAGTCCAAGGCACTCGAAAAATGTGGGGAAAAAATATATAAAAACAGTTAAAAGGGAAACCCAATGATGTTCTTTGCCAAATCGTGTAGGTTTTTAAGGATTAGGCATGTGAATAAAGGCTTTTTAATATTTTTTCCACATTTTTCGAGTGCCTTGGACTGATTTTTGAGGTTAAAGCTTAACATTCATTTAGTTATTCAAGCATAAAATGAGATGATAGACTGTGTAACCTCATCTAGCACTATCAGGCTATATTGAAAATACTGGGGTACAATTATTTTTTATATTTTAAAAAGATGGCAGGGCATTAGATTTAACGCAGTGCTTCTTCTCCGGTCTAAGACTCACTTTATATCGTATTTCTATCAGGCAGTGAAGATCATTCGTTCATTCGTTCATTCATTCATTCATTCATTCATTCATTCATTCATTCATTTTCTTTTCAGCTTAGTCCCTTTATTAATCTGGGGCCGCCTCAGCAGAATGAACCGCTAAATTATCCAGAATATGTTTTAAACAGTGAATGCCCTTCTAGCTGCAACTCATCACTGGGAAACATCCATACACACTCATTCACACACATACACTACAGACAATTTAGCTTACCCAATTCACCTGTACAACAAGTCTTTGGATTTGTGGGGGAAACCCACGCAAACACGGGGAGAACATGCAAACTCCACACAGAAATGCCAACTGACCCAGCTGAGGCTCGAATCAGCAACCTTCTTGCTATGAGGTGAACATACTACCCACTCCAACACCGTGCAGCCCTGTGAATATCACTGATTTTTAAAGAAAACAGATCTTAAACATGGCATTTTTGTAATGGAAAGACAGTTCCCCAGAGGCCGTTAGGGCTAGCTGTCTAAAAATTAAAATATTATATATAACCCGTTGCTTATCTGAAAGAGTCTTGTTTTTCTAAAAAAAAATAATAATAATAATAAACTTTAAAGTTGAAGAAAATACAGAAGAAAAGCCTGTAAGAAAAATGAACTTAATTAAAATGGATAAGCAGGATTCTTCTTCTTACCCCGCTTTAAGCATCAACACTTAATATTAAAGTTATACTTTGGGATAGTTTGCTGTACTCATTTTCAGACCACCAATATGACTTTTTCCTTCAGCATTAAAGATGTTTTTCAGCTGAAACTTTGATCCAGACAAGCAAATTAAATCCATTTAGATGTCACATAACTTATAGAGCAATGATTAGAGATCAATAATTATAGCGTGAGGGACATCAAAATAACTTAAGATTGTTACAGCTGTCAAAAATGAAGTGTACAGGCCATTGCTTTCATCACATCTGGGGCCACAGCAGGACATCACTCTCTCATACCCATCAGTCTCTCATAGCCCACAGCCTCTTAGGACATTTTTTTTTCCAAATATCTCAGTTTTTTACCCACACTTCAGAATATATGTAGGTTTAGCTAATAAAAATATTCAAACTGTTCCTTTACTTCTGATCAGATCATTTCCAATAGAACTAAGCAGTGATCTTGAAATTTAGGGAATTATCTAATTTGATTTCCTCTATGTGCATGTAGGCACGTTTCCTTTAGGGCCTATGACCAAACAGCACAGCCTCTATCCATCACTACTTCCTTATTTTTAATTGCGACAGCGTCTTTATTTCAAAACTTGTGTTTGTCCACCCACATATCTGGGAGTCTACCATACTTTTTTTATGGCTCAGATGCATTAGTTCTAAATAGGGAGAGTTTAGAAGGTCACTGAAAATACTAACATTAGTGAGAATGCACAGCCATCTGCTACAGTCTAAAGCCAGCCATGGGATTTCATGCCAAGATTTGATTAGGATATTTTTAATAATAACTTATTTATATTTATATTTGTTTTTAAACTGACTAGTGTTGTCAGTACATTTTCATCTTTTTTGCTAAAAACTCATAGAGAAAGAAATAAAGCTACACAAACTGTCACTGGGCTGGTACCTCTTCAAAATGGTGCTATTTTTAGGTTTCTAATTTATAAATTTAAGGTAGAATTATGTTTGTTTGTTTGTTTCTTTGTTTCTTTGTTTGTTTTTATTTTATTTTATTTTGTAAATTATGCCTTAATTAAGAGCACTAATAGAACAAAAATATGTTTTCCTTTAGGTAAAAAAA